TTGTAGTTCGAATTTTAGTGACGTCATGTGAAAACCAGCTATTACAATTGATCAGTGCAATTGTATTTTACGCACTGAGTTCTTAGTGTGTTTTTATCATGTCATCTTGTTCAAGTTTTTATCGTGTATTTTATCTTGTATTTGTAGATACTTTAGTATTTTAACCAATTTTAGCATTTATTGGAATATTTGGATTTTGCTATGTTTACTTTATTTTTAGTGTCCCCACTAGTCTCCTTTGTCATGCAGCAATCTTAATTCTTCTCTCGGGGCTGGGGTGTAGCATTGTGTGACAGCCACGGAGAAGACAGGCTATCCAAGGACAACTTTTCTTTGTACATGCTTGATGTAATTCACTCTTTGTTTCACCTGTCAATCACAATCTCTGTAAACAATATTTGGAATTACAGGAAAGGATGTTGTCATCTTGCAAAATTTGCTGCTGAGGTCACCATCAGTGGAGTCAGTGGAAACAACAGGCTTTTATGACCAGAAAACCAGTGAAGCAGTAACCAGCTACCAAAGATTGAATGGCTTGCCTGGGTAAACTAGATTACAAACGAACAATACACTACAGTGTCAGCAGGCTCACATTTTTAGGGGGGCACATATGAGTGGCAAAGTTGCGGGAATTGGTCAGTATTTTGGGGGATCTACAGTTGCTTGGTGCTGTAGCTTTGCTAATGGTACCTGACCCAAAATGTGAACATGCTCACCAGCTAAGCTTCGTGCAAGTTTGATCTGCCTGGAACTCTTGGTATTTAATTACTGCATTTGAAACAGCTTTTCAACATCAATTCATAAAGCAGGTTATGTGACTAGAAAAAAAGGGATGTAATGCGGATTAATTACTTTTTATTATTATTATTATTTTAGCTACATTTATTTTTCATTTCTCTCTGTTTTCTTCTTTTTTTCCTTCTTAATTTTGATTCTTAATATCCTTTAAATCCCTAAGTCATAAGAGTAAGGCGAGACAATTGCTCCAGTCACGTTTATGTGCAGATCACCATCCTAGGCACTAAGTGCTATAAACTATACTTATTGCAACTTGTTTAACGCTCTAGTTATACTCAACTTCACTGAACTTACAACATCACTTTTTATTCAGAAATGGTATATTGGATGCCACAACAGCATCCCTTGTCTTAAAACGACTTATGTATGATGGATATAAAGATGACAGCACTGTGCTACCTGGATATAAATTTAAGGTAGTTAGGTGTCTAAAAAATACTACCATTCTAGTTAATATGCATTTGTCCTTCTCTTAAGGTGGTGCACAATGACATTATTCTACAGAAACAAAAACGTATTGCTTTAAAAAATACGCTTGTGGAAGATTGTTTGGTTTCAACCTCACCCCCCGGTTTCTCTTAAAATTCTAGCTAAGGGTAAAATAATAAACTTCATGTATTTCCTTTTTGAAAGCTGCCTCCCCAAGCAGAGAAGCAGAGTTAGGCTGTTCCAAAAGGAAACCAGATTAACTATTATTCGGAGTGCTTGGAAACTTTGAAAAATTGAAAAGATTTACGAAGATTTTCGACATATTGTTACAGTAGTCTCAATGAGCTCAGAGTTTTTGACCTGCAGGTTTGTGCCTCACCCTTAAGGCATGAGAGTTATAGCAGGTTTACTAAAGCAGAATTCAAGCTACAATAGATGCACTTAAAAGTTTTAATCTGACATTTTAAATTCAGTCACATTTAATCAATTTTCTCTTCTTTCTCTCTTTTAGATTTATGTTCCTGTGTATAAAGATCGCACTATAGAAACGTTTGCTACACTATACGACTCCAACGATCAGGTAGATTTTATTTTGTTCAACCATTTAACTGTCTTTAAAAGATTGGTGGTATCATAACCAGGCTGGGCAGCAGAATAGGTGACAAGATGAAAGTCATAATCCAGGAGTTTCATTCATAAAATTTATAGCTAACTACTCCAGTTTACCATAATTAGCCAAATTAATTGGGCTTAACAACTGATAACAACAAATAAACAACTTGTGAAGGGCAGCTGGGAATTTGTGTCTTTTTGTGTGACATCAGTGAACTGAAATAATTTCTTATTTAGTAAAATGATATTGCTTGTTATCCAAACTATATAGGTAAAGCACACATTCAAGGCCCGCTGTCATGGCGCTACAGATTCAACCGGTGAACCAATAAATCAACTGACGAGAAATGGAAACACTCCCACTGGATTAGTGGTATGACTGTCTTTCACATTTACTTGAATGATAAAATGGTGTGATACACAGCTTCTGATTTTGTTATTGGGACACTTTCAGGAAACTATATATATCGTGAGGATTTTGCTACAATTTTGGTTAAAAGGGTTCTTAAAAATTATAAAATTACATGAACATGACTTAAGCAATTGACCCATACACTTATTAAATGCATTGGATCATGTGCACTAAAGGCATCCACAGTCAAGTGTCAATCGATCCACTCGATGGATACCCGCGATCTACCCTAGATTGATACTCAATCGACACTCCATTGACACCTCGGTTGACACTCGATCAACATTCCATCGACATCTCGGTCAACAATCGACTAATTTTCAATTGATTCATATGAGTGGGTTGACACTCAGCCGACTATTGGCCAACTGTTGATCAAGTGTCAATAAAGTGTCACCCAAGTATCGATCAGGATGTCGATCGACTATCGATCGAGACATCGATCGAGGGTATCGATCGAGAGTATCGATCGACACTCAACCACAGATGCTTTTAGTGAACATGATCCAATGCATCTAGAAT